CTTCCATGGGTCCCGATCGAAAAACCCAAGGGTGATCGGAATCGGAAGATCCAGGGACGGGCATCCAGGATCATTCGAAGATCCAGGATCGAGGCTCGATGAAAGAGGATGCTGTCCAGGATCTTGTCCTTCCAGGGGTCCCGATCGAAAGATTCAAGGACGATAGGAAACGGAAGATCCAGGGACGGGGATCCAGGATCATTCGAAGATCCAGGGTCGAGGCTCGATGCGCGAGGATGCTATGCAGGATCTGTCCTTCTTTTCCTTTCCTTCCAGGGGTCCCGATCGAAAGATCCAGGGGCGATCGGAAACGGAAGATCCACGGACGGGGATCCAGGATCATTCGAAGATCCAGGGTCGAGGCTCGATGAAAGAGGATGATATTCAGGATATCGTCCTCACCTCCTTTCCCTTCCAGGGGTCCCGATCGAAAGACCCAGGGGCGATCGGAAACGGAAGATCCAGGGACGGGGGTCCAGGATCATTCGAAGATCCAGGGTCGAGGCTCGATGAAAGAGGATGATATCCAGGATATCGTCCTCACTTCCTTTCCCTTCCAGGGGTCCCGATCGAAAGACCCAGGGGCGATGAGACGCGGAAGATCCAGGGACGGGGAGCCAGGATCATTCGAAGATCCAGGATCGAGGCTCGATGAAAGAGGATGCTTTCCAGGATCTTGTCCTCACTTTTTTTTCCTTCCAGGGGTCCCGATCGAAAAACCCAAGGGCGATCGGAAACGGAAGATCCAGGGACGGGCATCCAGGATCATTCGAAGATCCAGGATCGAAGCTTGATGAAAGAGGATGCTATCCACCAGTGCACACAGCTACACAGCTACACACAGAGACACTTGCATGGCATCACCACCAGTACACACAGCCACACACAGAGACACTTGCATGGCATCACCATCAGCGCACACAGCCACACACAGGGACACTTGTACGGCATCACCACCAATGCACACAGCCACACACATAGAAACAACGTGCGTCGGCATCAGTACACGGACCAGCCTCCAGGCCGGAACCCGCCATTGCCCACATATGCGTTGCGCGGCAAAGCGCAAGGTGCGCACCACAAAAGTGGTCGATTCAATATATTTGTTTTGTCGGTTTTTGGTTCCCGCCGGGAATTTCCATGGACTACCTTAAGGGTAACCGTCGGAAGCCCCCGGCCTGGAGGCCGGTCCGTTCGGACTGGTCCCGGCCTGGAGACCAGTCAGCTCCCTAGTAGTAGTAGTAGTAGTAGTAGTAGTAGTAGTAGTAGTAGTAGTAGTAGTAGTAGTAGGAGTAGGAGTAGGAGTAGGAGTAGGAGTAGGAGTAGGAGTAGGAGTAGGAGTAGTAGGAGTTGTAGTAGGAGCAGTAGTAGTAGTAGTAGTAGCAGCAGCAGCAGTAGTAGTAGGAGTTGTAGTATGAGCAGTAGTAGTAGTAGTCGTAGTAGTAGTAGTAGTAGTAGTAGTAGTAGTAGTAGTAGTAGTAGTAGTAGTAGTAGTAGTAGTAGTAGTAGTAGTAGTAGTAGTAGTAGTAGTAGTAGTAGTAGTAGTAGTAGTAGTAGTAGTAGTAGTAGTAGTAGTAGTAGTAGTAGTAGTAGTAGTAGTAGTAGTAGTAGTAGTAGTAGTAGTAGTAGTAGTAGTAGTAGTAGTAGTAGTAGTAGTAGTAGTAGTAGTAGTAGTAGTAGTGGTGGTGGTGGGTGGTGGTGTGGTGGTGGTGGTGGTGGTGGTGGTGGTGTGGTGGTGGTGGTGGTGGTGGTGGTGGTAGTAGTAGTGGTGGTAGTAGTAGTAGTAGCAGTAGTAGTAGTAGTGGTGGTAGTAGAAGTAGTAGCAGTAGTAGTAGTAGTAGTAGTAGTAGTAGTAGTAGTAGTAGTAGTAGTAGTAGTAGTAGCAGCAGCAGCAGCAGCAGCAGTAGTAGTAGTAGTAGTAGTAGTAGTAGTAGTAGTAGTAGTAGTAGTAAAAGTGCCTTCAGTGGCATCATCACCACCACCACCATTATGAACATCATCATCATCATCCACATCAGCATCATCATCGTCAACACCATCACCATCACCACCATCATCGTCACCAGCAGCAGCATTATCATCATCGTCATCTCCATAAGCATGATAATTACGCTCATCATCGGCATCACCATCAGCATCATCAGCATCACCAGCCTCATCAGCATCATTATCATGATCTGCATCCGCAGCAGCGTCATCATCATGATCAGCAAAATCGTCATCATCATCATCATCAGCATCATCATCATCATCATCAACATCAGCATCATAATTGTCATCATCACCTGTCACGATATTCCTCTTCCTATATTTTTATAAGCCCGGGCGGGGGGGAAACCCGTCACCCCCCCTCCCCCCTAAAACCGGACCCCCGGGATCAGGAGCTTTGGGACCCTCCGGACGGGCCTCGAAGCGGCCCCCTGGGCCTCGCAGGGCGTTTTGCCAAGCCTTCGCAGCACACCCAGGGCAATCAGGGGGGTCACTGGAGACGTCCCAGAGATTTCTAAGACAGCACAAGAGCGCTCCAAGAAGCCGTCATACCCCGAAAGATCGCTCCAAAACGTACCAAGAGGCCTCCAAGAGCACCCCCTAAGAAGGCCCCAAGAGGTACAAATCATTGATTATATGTAGGTGTTTGGTGCATTTGGAGTTCTCCTCTTTTCGGCTTCCCGACGCTCCAAGACGGCGGTCTCCTAGGCGTCCAAAGCTGCCTGTGAGGCTCCAAAATCGCCCCACAACCATGCGAAAGGGCTTCTAGACAGTCCAAGAGAGCTTCAAAACGGCACAACAGGAGTCCAAAATGGCCCTAAGAGAGCACCATGACGGCCCAAGATGGCCCGAAGACACCCTCCGAAGCATTCCAAATCGTGACTGGGGCGTTTAGGGAGACCGCGGTTAGAGGCAGGTTGGCCTTAGGAAGCCCCAGAGGCCCCCAGAACACACTCAGGAGGCCTCCAGAAGGCGTTCAAAAAGCCTCAGAACTTTGGTGAGGCCACCAGAGGCTCTCCAAGGAGGAGCCTCCGCAAAAAGAGAAAAGGAGGATGGGGAGAATGCCCAGGGTATGGCGAGAATGAGGAAACATTAGCATGGAGGAAGGATAACGAACAACATTATTATAACGGCGATGCCAGAAAAGGCAGCAAGGAGTTATCGCGAAATTGTCGGCTTGACCTTCCTGCCATTTCCGCCTACATACCAACTTTCAAGGACCAAGGTGCATGGCGCGAAGCGCCACTGCAGTCTTGTATATCTATATATATGCAGATATATAATCATCATCCGCTCCTTATCCTCATCCTTTTCCGTTTTCGCTTCCTCACCCTCTTCGTCCAGCCTATTCCTCATGCCCTTCTTCCGCTGCTACCAATCATCATCCCTACTACTCGTCATGATTTTCAGGTGTTGCCTTCCCCTCCCCAACTGTTGCCCCCTCCTCTTCATCAACAGAAGTATCATTTCACCGGCTCGTCCTTCTCCTCCATCTTCCCCCCCTTCCTCACCTGTCCCCCTTCCTAGATGCTATACTTTCCCCGTTCCGTCCACCGTAGGTCTCGAGGTCCCTGGAGGTTTCCTGAAGTCTCGTGAAGCCTCTAGGGGGCCCAAAAGAGCAAAACATATCCGAAGTTTAGGATCCCCGATTCTCATTAATCCCACTCCTTTCTCCATCCATCCCTCCCCTCCTCGCCTGCTGCCCCCTTCCTGCTCCCGCAGGAACAGGAGGAGAAGGAGAGGGCGCACTGGGAGTGGTGGTGCATTCCCGGCCTGAGGACTGGCCAGCCCATCCGCCCGCGTTGAGGAGGGGAGGGGGAAAGGCCAGTGGTGGGATACCGTCTTCTCTCCTCGTCCGCCTCTATTCATCCTCCCTCCTGCCTCCTGTTCCGCCGCCTCTTCCTCATCCTCATCATCATCATCATCATCATCATCATCATCATCAGCATCAGCATCGTCATCCTCATCATCATCATCATCATCATCATCATCATCATCATCATCATCATCATCATCATCATCATCATCATCATCATCATCATAAGCATCATCATACGCATCATCAGCATAAGCAGCATCATCATCATTATCAGCATCATCATCGACATAATCATCATCAGCATCATCATCATCGTCATCATCATCATTATTATCATCATCATCATCATCGTCGTCAGCATCATCATCATCATCAACATCATCATCATCATCATCATCATCATCATCATCATCATCCTTCTTTCCAGCTTCTTCCTCCCTCCCTCACTCCTCCCTCGTCCTGCTTCCTCCCACTACTGATCTCTGCTCGTTTCTCATTGCGCCCCCTGCCTCCTCATCCTCCTCTGCCTCTCTCATCCGTCTTCCCTCGTTTTTCCTCCTCCCGCATCCGCCTCCCTCCCATCTCATCGTGCCTCCTCCCTCCTCATCATCAGCATCATGATCAGCATCCTCATCGTAATCAGCATCATCGTCGTCATCATCATCAGCAGCAGCATCATCATCCCTTCTCCTTCTCCTCCTCCTCCTCCTGCCTTCCTCCTCCTTCACCTTCTCCTAATCCTCCTTCGTAGACGCCTCTGTGCGGTTCCGTCTCTGCTGCTCGTCGCGTCGGCCCGCGGTCAGGAGGATCCGCCCCCCAGCAGCGACGTGTCTTCCTCCTCCTCCTCTTTATAATCCTCATCTTTCTCTTCATCCTCATCCTCCTCCTCCACCTCTTCTCCTCCACGTCACACGTTTCCACTGTCCTCTCGCAACTTGCTTTGGCGCGGCCGAGGACCAGCGAGATGGTGAGCTCCCGAGAGGCATGCCGTGTTCGCGAGAGGCACCGTGCGCTAGTGGGCCCAACATGTTTTCCAAATATACCCGGTTGGGTCACCACCGAGTCAGCGCTTGCAGGCGCAGGAGGGTTGCACATTGAAGTGCGAGGGCGACTCGCATCCGAACTTGGAGAGGCTCAGGTCCGTGAGGCTGGCGAAGCGGCGCAGGGTTCGGAAGTCATCCAGGCTCCGCGCATGCACGCGGGCAAGGTCTCCCGATCCATCGCTCGGGAGACGTGTTCCGAGCTCTGGCGAGTCGACAGCTCACGTGCGCATGCCGGCTGCCTGAGCTCGAAGGGCCATGGCGGGGCTTACCTTGCGTTGACGGAGGACGCGGAGGCCGAGGAGAGGCGCGTAATGCCCGAAGTATCTCCTCCGCGGCGATGAGGCAGGCAGGATGTCCAGGACGGAGGCGACTACCGGTTCTGCTGGATGAACGGGCAGACGATTGCGTCGAAGCGTGCATGGGGCGACGGAGGTGCGGCCATCGGGCGTAGATTTCCCGGTCGGCCAAGCCAACCAGGCTGCCAGTGCGAATGTGGGTGGCAGCTTTCTCGCCCCGAAGCGAAGAGAGCCATACCACTCACACGGATGACAGAGAACCAGGGCAGAGGCAAGGGCATGCATCCGAATAGCAACAAAGATAGCTCCAGCGTCGTTGGCAAGGTCCCTGAAACTGTTACGGCGCCAGAGCGCTGCGACGACAAGCGTCGTGGCCTCGTCGCGTAGAGGAGCGATGGCAACCACCACAGACGACCACGAGAAACATTGTCGATCCCCGCCGTCGCAGAGCCTGCGGCCGAGATCGACGAGGGAGTGGCCTTGCTCAGGAACGGTGCTGAGGAGCAAGCGCAGAACGTGAGAGGGAGAGGATCACGTGGGAGAGAGGATTCGGTCGCGCGCACTCGATCTGGGCTTTCTCGCGCTGACGCTCACCGTTGCAGAAGCACCGTGAGCCATGAGTTGCTGACGACAGGGCAGCAAAACTGGTCACGGACCACGCCGCGGCACGCCATCCATTTGGAGTGCCCGCGCAGGCCGAGTGCTGGACAAAGCACGTCGGCGCGCGGGAAACGTTCGCGAATTACGCGTGCAGATGTTTGTGCGTGGAGCGCTAAGAGAGCTCTTTGGGCAGGCGGCGCCAGCACGCCAACGAGCGGCCGAGAGTAAAAACGCGGCGGGGATGCCTTACCACTCTTGACCCTTTGCGCCACACGCATAGAGTACGACCGCCTTATGTTGGCCTCGGTCTCCTGACTGCGCTCCAGAGATTGGCCACTCTGCGCTGAGCCTCTATCAGCGGTACAACTCTTCGCGCGAGAGCGTTCCCAGCCCAATGATCTTCCGGCAGCGCCGCCCCCAACCTCACGTCGGTATCCCAGTGACAACGCTTCGCCCAGCAACCCAGCACAAATGGGGTTCGACGTGCAGAGGCCACTCGTCAGAGGGGTGTTCATGTGGTAGCTGTTTCGGTGGCTCACGAGTTCGTGTTGACCTTAATGCGGCTTAGATGTTGCACGGGCGGCCTTGCGATGTGGCAGCCGCCACATCTCGCATTGTCGGTCTCGAGCGACGTGAAGAATTTCAGCGTTGTGCAGTCCTGACCTTCGGCGTACCCACTGAAAGTAGGTAGTGCGAGATCCCCAGGTCTCAGTCCACTCTAGGCGCTTTCCTATCTCAGGGGTCGAGTGGCTTTCCTTCTTCGTCTCCTTTCAGGAGGGCGGGCGGAAATCCGATGTGTTTCAAACGCTTTCCTGCATCATGCTTCTGCCCTGTGAGGCTTCGGGTTGCGCGCAGCCAGCCCCCAAGATCGCCCCGCCTGGCCTCCACATGCCCCCCCGCGTAGAGTCCCAGCTAGCCCCAGCAGGGCCCCCGAGTGGTCCGGGGCGGTCTCGGCACCTTGGCCCCGGGGCGAGGAGCGCCCCAGGGGACGCCGCAAGGAGGCGGCGCCAGGGTGTTGAGAGCGCCCCGGACTATCCGGGGGGCCTGTCGAGGGCAGCTGGGACTGCGCTCGCGGAGGCCCGTCCAGCCGGGACTGTCTTCGGATGGTCTGTTGAGGCCAGCCAGGACCGCCTGGAGGGGTTGTCCGCGCGCAGCCCGAAGCCTTACCACTTCCGCCCCACCTCTTCCGAGCGATGGGTAACCCTCACCGTTCCCCTCTCCCGCTCCGCTGCCGCTCCGCCGCAGCGCCCCCCCCCCATACCCCTCCGCCTCCCCCTTCCTCTGGGGGGGTCCACTTGGCTCGTGATGCGATGAGCACGCGCACCAGATTCAGGGCCAACAGCGTGTTATGTGGATGTTTGCGAGGGGGAAAAGGCGCGATCGTAGATGGACAGACAACGGAGCCCTTGACTCCCCCTTCTCCCTCCCCCCCGATTCAAAGTTGGACCCAGGCATTCGGCAGCACAGGCGCGAGAGGACAAAAGAAGTGGAGCCCCCCAGGGCCTCCGCGAGGCCCGACCCAACTTAGGGGGAAGGCGTGAGGGCGAACACGGGGTCGAACCTGAAGGGGCTCTGCCTTTTTGTCCCCTTACCGTGCCGCTCCGCCCCCCTCGACGTCCCCCCTCTGCCGCCCTCGACGTACCCCTCGACTATTACACAATGTCTCTCCTCTCTCCCCTGACTCTGTCCGGAAGATGCTCGGTTCCCCTCCACGTACTAGTTGTTGCACAGGATTCCGGCGAGCTTTTTTTCATGTGTGTTGGTACACATCCGTTTCTTTCAAAATGTTGTTCCCGTTGCAGTGTTGGCCTCATGTTCGGGCTTCCGTTCGTTCCGAATCGTGTTCCCGCTGCAGCGCTGGCTTCATGTCCGCGCTTCCGCTCGTTCCGAATCGTGCTCCTGCTGCAGCGCTGGCCTCATGTCCAATGCCATGCCATGGCATGCAATGCAATGCTACTGTGTGTTTCGTTGTGCGATGCCATGCTTTCATCTGCAATGCTATGATATGCGTTGCTTGACTAAGCACTGCCACGCCCATGCTATGTCATGCTACGCGTTGATCTTCAACGCCATGTTGTCATGTGAGGCTATGCCATGCTACGACATCCGACTGCGCAAACCGAGAGGAGATCTACGCCATGATAAGGGATGGGAGGGAGGGGTAGGACGTCAGATAAGACGATTGCGCACCTTGCTTGGCATCCCCCCTCTGCGTCCCCCCTCGTGCCGCTCTGCCCTCGACGTCCCCCCCTCCGCGGCCCGGGGACCAGCTGCCGCCACCCCCGCGGCGCGCGCGGCAGGAGCTACCGAGAGCCCGCCACGGAGCAGGCGCCCCACGCGGAAACGTTCGCACGCAGAAGCACACGTCCGTACGCATAAACACTTCGGGCTTGGTATCGAGTGGCGGGGGGATGCGCGTGCTCGCGAGCAGTCGGATCGAGGTGTGAGATCGAGGTCGGCTCAGGGAGGGTAACCTAAATGTTCTTCGTGTTTGTTGGATGCTCTTGTGCATCCTTGGGAGGGTACCCTTGGGTATTCTGTGCGTTTTGGCCGACGGAGGGTCTCATGTTCTTGAAGAAGGTTCTTCGGGCCTAGGTTCGACTATATCGAGTGGCAGGGGGATGCGTTTGCTCGAGTAGCCCACCCCTATCCGCACGATTATGTGATGTGCGCATGCTCGGTACTCACGTGGACACGAGGCACAGCAGGGGGGGGGGGGTCGGTGCGCTCGAAATCGATGCGGAAAGAGTGGGTACCCAGACCAGGCAGCTAGCTACTGTTCATTTTGGACCGGACTCGTTGTCGGTGTCGCCGCGGAGGTTGTCCATTTGAGGCAGAAGACCGCTTGCCCACCTGCGGCCGCCGTCGGTTTTGGGCAACATTTCATGTTGGGCATCGTGTTCATTTTGTTCGTTGCCATTTCGGGCGTCCACAGCGAGGGGAGCTCATCGCCAGACTTGCACGACGCGACAAATTCGCAGGGGGGGGATAAGCCAAGGGGGGGACAGGCTTCGAAACGACTGGTTTCTGATATTTTCGTCCGTTCTCGGCGATCTTCCAGTCTCGGGATGCCCTCCAGCGGCTGCGCCTCGCAGAGAGCGTCCTTGGGGTGCCCTCAGCGTCCCGAACGGCCGCCGGGGAGCCAAGTTGTGGCCCGAAGGAGGAGGAGGAGGAGGAGGAGGAGGAGGAGGAGGAGGAGGGAGGAGGAGGAGGAGGAGGAGAGGAGGAGGGGGGAGCTCCCTGCCAGACCCGGGCGACGCCAGGAAATCGTGACCGCAAGCTTTTTGTCTTGGCCATCTGGCAGTGCTGGGTCTTCGTCTTGTAGAGACAGCGAAGCGGGAGGTGTCCTCCTCCTCCTCCTCCTCCTCCTCCTCCTCCTCCTCCTCCCTCCTCCTCCTCCCCCTCCTCCCCCCCTCCTCCTCCTCCTCTCCTCCTCCTCCCTCCTCCTCCTCCTCTCCTCCTCCTCCTCCTCCTCCTCCTCCTCCTCCTCCTCCTCCTCCTCCCCTCCAACTTGTGGTGGTGGTGGTGGAACAAAAACGAGGCCCATCATGGCGAGGGCCCCCGCGAAGCGCCTCGCGTCCTCCTTCCTTCCCGCTGCACCCTCCCTCACATCACTGCCTCTGACCTCCACGCGTCCCACCCACATTCCTTCCTTCGTCCCACTTGCCCTGCGGCACTCACGCCTGCGGATGTTTGGGTCCTTCGCCGGGATCATTGACGTGTTTGGCATCTGTAAGCCGTCTCCCGGCCCCGGCCGGGGTCGTGAAAGAAACAGCTCAGGATGGAAAAAGTTGGCCCAGGGGAGAGGGTGGAGATTCTCAGTGGCCCACGTCACCAGAAAGATGCGACGGCCGAGGAGAGGGCCCCCAGCCGACCTGCTTTGTTCAATCCGAGGGCCCCAGAGGTTTCGATCCCTTGTCCAGAGGCAGAGTTGCATCCTGGGACGCGGCAATCTTTGATGGCCCTGGGTTCCCCACGACGGCCCTCTGGAGGCCAAAATGGAGGAGAAACGCCTGATTTTTAGCAGCAGTCCGACCGAAGCCGGGGTTGACCTTAGCATCCGCTCTCCAATGTTTCAGGTCTCCCGCGAGACGCTGGCCAGGCCACCCAACCGCCTGCAGCATCTCAGCGAGCACAAGCTGAGTCTTCCTCGGGCCAAGGATACTCTGCATTTGCACTGGCAAGAATACTCGTTCTTCAGGCGCGAGCGAAAGGCGCACGTGCACATCGATTCTCGTGGATCTCGAGGGCATGTTCTGCGCGAAAGTTCGTGAGGCGAGGCTGGCCTCGCGCACGGGGGCCGTAATCATGTAGGTGGCTGTGCGGGTGCGTCTTTTTGTGGGCTACCTACTTCGCGCGCCCGCAGCGGGACAGGCATGCGCTTGCGACCGCCTCCCCCCATGGGAGGAGGGGAGCACTTCTCTCGCCCGCGCCGGCGCCAGGCGTGGATCTCCACGGGGCCCGAGGCACCACCGCGCGACATCCCAGCCGCACCCCTAGCGGGCAGGGAGGAAGGGGAGGAGGGTGAAGAGGAGGGGGGGTCAGGACCGGAAAAAAGCACACTTGTCGCCCTGCCCCATCCCTGCTTCGCTCCGCCTACTCCCGGCGCCGCCCTCTGCTCCGACCGTGCAGCGGGTGTTCGGCCACGCTCCATGAATGTGATCAGGAGATCCGCGGCCGACGATCGCAGGGCCCCCCGCTCCTCCCATCCGAGGGGACGGAGCAATCCAGGTGCGCTGGCGGCAATCTGACATCCAACCCCATCCACCCATCCCTTCCCATTGCGCTGTTTCACCTGGAACCCCAAACGACCCCACTGTGTCATGCGTAATCACACAAACATGAAGCTGCTTGCATTGGAGAAGGAGGTTGCGGATGAGCTGGAGGATGAGCACGAGGAGGAGGAGGAGGTTAAGATAAGATAAGACCGATCGCGAAGCGAGTTCAAGATTAATTAGGAGGATCTAGCCGCCTTCTCAGCCTTGCTGAGAACTTTGGGCATGAGACCTCTGGAGAGTCGGTCGAGATATTCTCGCCGACTCTTGGTGATTGGGACATTGGGTGGGGCCTTGCACTCATCAGCCAGACTTCGGAGCTGCTGCTGATGGTAGGCCCCGCACGTCGAGCAATACCACAAAGACAAAAGTCTTCGAGTAATGCCATGCGCCAGGTCGCGTGGGCAAAGGAAGATGTTGCCTGCCTATTCTCACCGCTTTGCGGGAAACGGCTTCGCGCCGGCCCTCTAACTTACATCGTGTGCAGACTAGAAGTCAAGACGTTTGGGAATTCAAGCGGGTACGGCTTGAACGGGAGTTCAAGCGGGTACGGCAGCAGTGGGAGGAGGAGGAGGAGGAGGAGGAGGAGGAGGAGGAGAGGCCGGGGGATTGTGGAGCCATTCGGTGTGCCAGAGGAGTTTTTACGAGCTGTCAGCCTTGTCTTCATCATTATCCTTATATTTCCTCTCTCGCTTTCTCCCTTTGCCTCTCTCTCTCTCTCTCGCATACACATTATATGCATATCCTTCCTTTCCTTACTTCAGCATCACAAGCGAATCCCTTTGGAAAGCGAAGCAAAGATATTCGATGTCCTCGCAACAGAAATCCGCTGGGAATCATTACCAAGGGATTCGATTGGAAAGCCTCATAATCGGGGCCGTTCGGAAAGCACTGCTGAGGGTTTCTATTGGAGAGCATCACTAGAAAAATCCTTTCAGAAGCGTCACGCGTTACGTATATAAATGGCAGTTCGCCAAGAATGACAAGTCAGAATGGTCAGGACGATTCGCTTGAGACTTGTCCTACGAGGGCTCATGGACGTGGAAGCCTTGAATGTAGAAGATTACTAAGGCCTTACGGCCGGTGCCGCCGACCCTGAAGACGACGACGACTACGAGGAGGAGGAGGAGGAGGAGGAGGAGGAGGGGGATTAAGGTGGAAGGGGACAGGAGAAGGCGACGGAGATGTTCCCCATGTGGGCCGAGGGAGTCGTAGCAGAGACAGACAGGGAGCCGTGTGGCCTGCGGCCCTTCCCGCCACTGTGCTGGGGTTATGGTTGAAAGGCCTCTTGGATGTTTTCGGGCAAGTTGGGGCCTCTTTTGGGCCTCGTGGGGGTTTCTTGGAGGCCTCTTCGGGCCCCTTAAGGGGCTCTTGGGGCCTGCCGGGGGCTTCGTGCGGGAAGCTCGGAATGTGATTCTCTTATTGGGCATGCTTGGGGCCCCCTTGGCGCGTTTCGGCGTTTTTTGGTGCCACCGGGACGCCCAGGGAAGGATGCTTATCTGACCCCCCCCCTCGGGACCCCCCCCTTCGGCGGGGGAGGGATCAAAGGGAAGACCTTCCCCTCGACTTAAGTACGACGTTGCTACGGTTTTATTTCGCTTTCAGGCTTGAAGAGGAGGGTGCAGGGAGAGGGGACGACGGAGACGCAGGGAAAGAGGACAACGGATGCGTCGACTGAGCGCACGCCGACAGGGGGTCCACACGCCGACAGGGTCGGCGGATATTTGTATGTATGGTTTTATGCATTGTTGTATCTCTCTCCGTCTCGTTCCTTCCCTCCCATGCCCTCCCAATGTGCATTTTAGTGTAAGTATTCGGTTAGACCAACGCGACTGGGTCAGAGAGAAGTCCTCAAACAGACGCAGTCTATCGTGCGGGGCAGCAGCGCCCCCAGAGACGCCTCGGCCCCTGCGCGCCGCCACTGTGCTCAGGCTCCCGCGCGCTTGGGCCACAGGGTTCCCCCCCTCGAAGTTCAATCTGAGTTAGTTGCGTACGCAGTTGCTGACAAAGTCCTCGTGCCCAACATGGGCCATCGCCGCAGCCCCTCGCCGCCCCTTGCGCTTGGACCCGAGCCATGGGAGCGGCAGCCGCCCGCGGGCGACTGGCTCTGGCCGCGGCCGCCCTTCGCAGCCGCCCTTCGCCCGCGCGGCCCCGGCGCACACGGGAGGCACGCCGCGCAGTTGGCGGCGGCGGCGGCGGCGCAGCCGCCCCGCATCAGGCGGCCGCCTGGGCTCGCGGAGCTGGCGCAGCGTGAGGTTCGGTTCATGCGGCCGCCTGGGCTCGCGGCGCTGGCGCAGCGTGAGGTTCGGTTGCACGGGGGAGGATGAGGAGGAGGAGGAGGAGGAGGAGGAGGAGGAGGAGGAGGAGGAGGAGGAGGAGGAGGAGGGAGGAGGAGGAGGAGGGGGGAGAAGGAGGAGGGAGGAGGAGAGAAAAGGAGGAGGAGGAGGCGGAGGAGCAGGAGGAGGAGAAGGACGAGGCGGGGGAGGAAGAGGACGAGGGGGATGATGATGATGATGAGGAGGAGGAGGCGGAGGAGGAGGAGGCGGAGGAGGAGGAGGAGGGGGATGAGGAGGAGGAGAAAGGAGGAGGAGGAGGAGGAGGAGGAGGAGGGGAGGAGGGAGGAGGAGGAGGAGGAGGCGGGGGAGGAGGAGGAGGAGGAGGAGGAGGAGGAGGAGGAAGAGGAGGAGGAGGAGCACGAGGAGGAGAAGGAGGAGGAGGAGGAGAAGGAAGAGGAGGAGGCGGAGGCGGAGGAGGCGGGAGCGGAGGAGGAGGAGGAGGCGGAGGAGGAGGAGGAGGAGGAGGGGGAGGAAGAGGATGCGGATAAGGATGAACAGGAGGAGGAGTTGGAGGAGCAGAGATCATAGATCGTAGAAGACCCCCATATAGCCCTAACAACACTATGAAGGCATAGCCTCACCGAGGTCCCCGTTTTTGCAGTAGGGATCACAGTTTTTTGGGGCGGTTAGTTTCGATGCATCTGCAGAAAAGACACCCTATCCCAGATGTTTCGGGCCCTTACGCCGAGGGCCGACCCCAAAGGGTTGGGGGTACCTTCATTGTTTATCAAGAGACGCCTGGCCAGAGTTGCCCGTGGTGCGCGGCGTACGGGGGGCGTTCGGGGGACTGGGCCAGACTTGGGCACGCAGGAGCGTCATTGCCGCCGCGCGCGCCGCGCACCATAAGACATCCTTGCCTAGGGTAACTCTTGCGCGCAGCCGAAAGATGGCTGCAAAGGCCGCGCGCGCGCCGCCGGCGGGCGAGCTGCGCGGGCCTCGCCTGGACGCGCTCCTGCAGGGGATACCGACCCCCCTCCGCCTGGGCCAGCGGGCGGCCGCTCGGGCCGCCGCACAGGCTCTCGAGCCGCCCGCAGACGGCTCCGCCGCCGGCGTGCGCGAGGAGGCCATGCCAGCCGTGGCAGACCCAGGTGTCCAGGCCGCCCTGGATGGGGTCGAAGGGATGGGTCGGTGGATCGCGCCGCATCGCCGATGCGTCGGCGATGCGGCTCGGCGTGGAGCACGATGTTCTCCACGCCGACGTCGCCGATGTTGCCCACGCCGATGTAACGGAGACGCGGCGCGATCCACCGACCCCAGTTGCTTCGGCCCCCTTTGGGCGTTCTCTAATCATTGTGCGCGTTCCACTTCTCGCAATTTTCCTACTCGCAAACGCCCGGAGAAAAACATGTTCGCCTCGATGCAATGGGCTCGGCGGAGCCAGGCCACTTGCGAGTAGTTAGTCACTTTGGGAGTAGTGGAACGCGCTCGTCTATCCAAGGTGCCGCCGCTGACATACCCCCACCAGTTCGCGACAGTATGGGCAGAGCCGCACTCTCTGACGCGCAGCCTTTTGCCATGTCAGCGGGGCCCGCCCGCCTCGTCGACGCCGGGCAGACCCCAATGGGTGCGCATGCGCCGTGACTTATAACTTAAAAACTTCTCATTATGTACATATGCAAATATGTATGTACGCGTGTATGTGTGTATGTATGCACGTGTGAACGGTTGCACGCTTATGTGTGTAGAATGATGTATACATATATGTGTGCCTGCGCATGTGTGTACATGTACATGCGTATTAGCTGTTACATGCGCGTGGGTATGTGTATATGCATGGTTATGGGTATGTATATGTGTGTACGTGTGTATGCATGCATGTACGTGTGTATGCATGTTTGTATGCAGACGTGGATGCACGCATTTATATATAGTTGTTTCGATGTGTATGTATGCGTGTATGTATATATATATATGCATCATGTATGTATTCATGCATATGAGTCAGTGAGCTTGTAGCTGTGCACGTACGCAATTATGAAATGCAATGTATGTGTGGATGCATGCATGAATGCATGCTTGCATGTGTGTATATGTGTCGGTGTGTATGTATACGTGCACACATACATTGATATATGTGTGTATGTGTGTGCTTATGTATGGATGTGGTTATGTCTGTTTGTATGTATGCATGCATGTGTGCATGCTTGATTGTATGTATGAGTGTATGTATGTCTGTATGTGTGTATGTATGTATGTGTGTATGTATGTATGTATGTTTGTTTGTTTGTATGTATTTATATATGTACGTATGTACGTATGTACGTATGTACGTATGTACGTATGTACGTATGTATGCATGCGTGCATGCATGCATGGAAATGCGTGCATGCGAATGTATACACCGCGGCCACGGTTTCTCAAGCCATCTCTGACCGCATAGGATGCTCACCGAGACTTTCACCTGCCTCGTTTCGGTCGGCAACTTCTGTCTCCTCGCGCATAATTGGTGGAGCCCGCCAGTGCAGCCAGCGCCTGCGTGCGGGTGCACCTGCCACTGTTCGGAAGGCAGTTCCTGGTGGCCGCCCGTCCTCATTGGCATCCTGAGCGTGATATCGCTCATTGGCTGGTGCCCGAGGCTGCTGTGGGGGCCGCCGACCACGAGGGTGCAGGCAATCGACGGGAAGGCGCTGCGCGGGCAGATCACAGCTGGTCCGCCCGTTAACGTTGGCTAGCCATGGAGCTGACGAGGCCACGTGCGGGGCAACGCTTCTGGGTGTTGTTCGACCGCACGGAGGGCCTGTGGCACGAGCGTTTGTGCCTGCACGAGTACGGGACGGGCGTGATCGTCGCCACCGCTGACGGGGACGTCTACGCTGAGGAGTTCACGGACTACGAGGACCTGGCCGTCTCTGGGTCCCAGGGCGGCGTGCCCCGCCGGCTGTACCCGAGGCGGCGCTACCACTTCGACCCAGGGGACCTGGAGGAGGACAGCCAGCTGCGCGTGGATGCCGCTCGTCAGCTGGCCAGGCTGCTTGAGAGCGGCGAGTACCCAGCAGCGCCGATCCCGCTCCTTGATGCGGGGGACGGCGCTGCGCTGGCGACAGGCGGAGGATCTGCTCCGCTGGACGTGGTGGGCGGCACTCCCATGCCGCGTAGCCCTATGCCTAAGGAGCTCGACGATGCACCCCGCGGGACGACCTGGTACCTGCTCACCGACGCGTTCGGTCAGCGGATGCACGAGCAGGTGACGGTCGGGTTGAACGATCGGTGCGTCACCGACGGACGCTCGGGACTCCTCATTCGCAATGGGGGGACCGTGCCTGCGTCGGCGCAGCTGCCGCCTAGTGCCGGAGACGACGACGTGAGGACGTTGCCGGCACAGTACAACCCGCGCGGGGAGAGGACACGTTCGTTCCTGAGCGCGCGGGGTGCCTTCACGGAGGAGACCTTCGATGACTTTCCTGTCCGCGGCCCGCGGACGATAGGCTGGCTCATGGAGGCGTTCCACAAGGGTGGCCAGAGCCCGGTGGCGCGCCGCCACTGGGGGCAACGACGGCTGACCCTGGGATTGACGACCACCTCTTCCTCTCGGAGCTTTTCGAGCTCGGCGGACAGTGCGACCACCTGAATCTGCCGAACAGCGCCGCCTTCGAGGCGATCTCCCGTCGCTGTCAGCTGTGGGAGGAGCGCTACGCCGAGAAGCTGAAGCAGGTGACTGAGGGGCCCGGAGCTGCCGCTGGAGCGGCCGCTGAGAGGTACCCCTTCCTCGGGGTCACGTCGGGCAGCACAGCCCTGGCCTCGCCCAGCCTGGCCGAGTACGTGGCAGAGAAGATGGGGCAGGAGTGCAAGATCTTGAAGGAGCGCCGCAAGGGTCGCGAGGAGCGCAACCTGGCCGCGCTGGCGTCTTCGGGCTCCGGCAGCGGCGGCGGCGGCGGCGGTGGCTCAGGAGGTGCTGCCGCCTTCGAGGGTCAGGGCAAAAAGAAGGGGCCGCCCAAGAAGCAGAAGGCCGAGGAGGGCTGACTGCACGCGGGCATCATCATCCGGTCGCCTTGCGCGTGACGCCCCGCCGCGTGCGAGGCAAGTTTTTTGAGGGGGGCCATCGGCTGTGCCATGGCTTTACAGTCACATCGCGATGTGTTCCCCCTTCCCTGCGCTGGTCCGCCGCCTGGCCTGTGCTCCACGGGCCCTTCTGCGCGGTGGCTGCAGGAAGGGATTCGAGCGCTTAACTCGATCGGGGGTCGTGGCCAGACGACGCCTGCGCAGCCGACGACAATTTTGCAGGCTCACGCCTTGTCTCGACCCGCTAGCATGTATGCCGCGATTCCTGAGCAACCGAGCGATGTGACCGTCCAGAGTGCCGTCAAGAGCACTTTGGGAACCGACCCTGGTTATGGTGACGACCTGACCAGCGGGAGCCATGCACTTTACCAACGAGGCAAGGTCTCGTTGCCTCGCGTTGCCACCGGGGTGGCACGTCTCGAGGATGTGCTGCCCACTTGGGACCGCTCTGTTGGTAGAGGAATCCACTGGGCTTCTGACTAATGCCGCTCATGCTGACAACAGCTTTGCTGGGAAATTGGCCTTCGACCCCAGACTTGCAAAGGGCAAGAAGGCCTACGGTTGTTTTTTGAGTGACCTCCTGTCTCGTCACATGCCGAAGGTAGGGGAGTCTACGAAGATGGTCACCCCCTTTTTGTAAGAAAGAAAGACGGTGCCTTGCGTCTCATATTTGATACGCGTGATGCTAATACCTCGTTTTCCCCCCCTCTGTACACCTCTCTTGCTGCCGCTCAGGCGCTCAGCTCCTTGGAAGTCCCATCTGGGGCTGGTCTGCATTGTGCTCAGGGAGATGTCACGCGCTGCTTTTATCAGTTTCTGCTACCAGACCGTCTGCGCAGCTGGTTTGGGCTCCCCCCGGTGCACTGGTCCGACCTTCCTGTTCGGGTAAGGCACGTCCTGGGCCCGCCTGATCCCTCGGGGTTGGTCAGGTTCAGGCTCCGTGTTGTACCTATGGGTTGGTCGTGGGCAGTGTACTTCGCCCAGTCTGCTATTAAGAACCTGCTGGCCCCCGCCGTTCCCAGGGATCCCTTCTTGGCCCAACACAGACCCCTGGACCCCCTCACCCAGCAAGGCGCCGTCAGTGCTATTTACGTGGACAACTTTGCGTCTCTCTCGCTCTCGGCCGCTCGCTCGTGCGATGGGCTTGCGAAAATGTTGTCCGCTGTGAAAGTGCCGGTCTCGACGCTGACGCGGGGCCCGACGGCGCCCCCTTTCTTGGGTGCTGCTTGGGTGGTTCGGGGTCGTCCTGGGTCCCTTCGGGGCGTAAGTTTTGGAGGATCTCCCTGGCTTCGAAGGCGGTCTTCCAGGGTCGGGTTCGTCGGACTGGGCGTCAGATTGCTCGTCTGGTAGGCCATGTCTCTGCGGTGTTTCAGCTTCGTCCTGAGCTGCTCTCAGTCTTCTCAGCAGCTTACACCTTTAGCACGCATTTTCGGGACCGACCCGCATGGGTCTGGAGCTCGGTCAGGCACGAGTGCTGGCTAGCATGGGCTCTCCTCCCCACGGCTGTTGCTCGGCTGGACATCCCGTGGAGTTCGGAGGTGACCTCTGTGGACGCGTCGCTACACGGGTTCGGTGTCACGGCGTGCCAGTTCGAGTCTACCAGTGTTGGCAAGGTTGGCCGTGTCAGTGAACGTTGTCGATTCCGAGGAGAGCTTCGCAAGTGTGCTAGGCCGCGCGACGTCTTGGAAGACATTGAGGTGCCCTTCTCTTTCCTCGCCCGTGGGTCTGATCACGACTTCTTGGGGACTGGAGCCCAGACGGAGTTCCCCGAAGTTCCCGAGTGGTTTGCCAAGGACTCCCCCTGGTGCGTCATTGCGGCAAGGAGGTGGAGGAGGAAGGAGAAGATCCTGAACCTGGAGGTGGAGGCGGCCCTGTGGGCTGCTCGGCGTATCAGTCGTGACAGGCGTCTAGGGGACCATCGGCACCTCATCCTCAGCGACTCGATGGCCTGGGTTTGTGCAGCCACCAAAGGGAGAGGGAGCCTCTGGATTCTTCTTCGTCGGTGTCGTGAGCTGTGTGCGCTCGCTATTGCCTCTGGATGTCGCTTCGTGTATCGCTGGATTCCTTCCGAGTGGAATAGCGCAGATGCCCCGAGCCGAAGGTACGACCATGCCAGCGAGCACCATGCTAAGTACTTCTATGTCAGCAACCCTGGTGGCTCGGATCGTCCGGCGAGCCGCGGCGGGCCCGCTCCTCTTTCTGCGGCCGTGGAGGCGGTCATCGGCGATGGAGTTCCGCACCCTGCGGGCCTCCGACGCCTCGCGGCTGCGGTCCCGTTCGCCTACGGCCTGCCGGGGCTCTGGGAAGCTGCGCACGGCGGTGAGGCTGGACACGGCGCAGCTGCCGACGACGTCGGTTGCGACACTTGCTCGAGTGTCTGCCCGCCTCGCGGCCGCTCCCACCGCCAGCCCGCCCGTGGCTCACCGCCACCTGGGGCCAGGGCCGGCGGGGAGCGCCGCGGCGCGCCCTGCGCGCCGGGTGGGCAACGCTCAGAGACAGCAGGTGCGGCGGGGGATGCGCCAGTCGCCCTCGACCCTGATCGGAAGCGCGGGGCGGGCAGCCACTCGGCTGGCGGAGCTCGGCTTCCGAGTGTCGGCACTGGGAGCGGCGTCGGTGACCCCAGCGACACAGGACAAGTACCTGACGCACCTGAGATGCTGCTGAGACGGCTGATGCTGAGGAGGGCGCCCACGCTCGACAAGGACGAGTGGGATGTGCTCCTGACGAGCTACATCGAGCACCTGTACGACTCGGGGGCGACCGAGAACGCCGGCGGGACGACGCTGGCGGCTGTGCGGTGGGCAGAGCCCGCCATCCCCCGCCCGCTGCGCCGAGGCCTCCCCCTGGCCTCTGCAGCGCTGGCAGGGTGGCGGCGGGCCGAGCCGGGCCGGGCGAGGCCGCCGATGCCGCGGGAGCTGGCCATCGCGATCGCCCTCGACCTGTGCGACTGCGGCTTGCCGAGCCCGGGGTTCTTCGCCATGCTGGTCTTCGAGACGTGCATGCGCCCCAGCGAGGCCCTGGCTCTCCAGCGCTTCCAGCTCGTCCCACCGGCGGGAGACGGGATGCCGGGGACAAAAGGGCGCTGGGCCGTGCTCATCCGTGCCCTCGAGCTCGGCAGGCCTGGCAAGACAGACGACTTCGACGGCAGCGTGAGTCTCGATCTGCCACGACACCAGCTGCTGGTGCCAGGGCTGGAGGAGATCTTCAGCCGTCGCGGGGAGCGCGACCCAGTGTTTCTCTTCGACTACGTGACGCTGCTCAGGCACTGGCGGACGACGCGCAGACGGCTCGGGATCGAGCACCTACATCTCACGCCTTACTGTCTGAGACACGGGGGCGCCTCGGAGGACCGAGCCAGCAACTCGCGCCCCATGCTAGAGGTGATGAAGCGAGGCGGCTGGAAGACCGACTCGAGCCTGGCGAGGTACGAGAAGCACGCGCGACTCGGCCTGGTGCTGCAGCGGTCCAAGGCGGCCGTAGTGGCGACGGCCCGGCGTCACGAGCAAGAGTTGACCAAGCTCTTTCTCGCAGCCTGGCAGCGGCCAGGCGCGACGCCAGAATCGGCCACTGCAAAGTCTTCCTCGACATCTTCGCGGGCACTGGTCCTGTCGGCAGGTTTCTGAGAGAGCGCGGTCACGGAGTCATCTTTTTTGAGAAGAAGCTGGGCCCCATCAGGCGGACGCAGGTCTTTGCTACGGTCACGGGGTGGCTCCGCGCGGGCAGAGCGCGGGGCTTTTGGGTGGCAGCGCCTTGCGTCACCGCGACGCGAGCTCGCCAGAACGGTGCTGCAGGCATGCCGCCTCCTCTCCGATCTAACGAGCATCTTCGTGGGCTGCTGGGACTTGGCGAGCGCCTCAAATAACAAGTGCGTGATGCCAACACCCTCATCGACCGAGCCGGGCTGCTGAAGGCCGCCGAGGGCTTGGGAGTGCCATGCGGGGAGGAGAACCCAGCCACATCTTTGTTGTGGCTTTTTCATGTGCGCCAGCGGCTGCTGGCTCAGTGGCCGCACCCCAATGTCGACTTCTGCTCCTGCGGCTTGCCTGTCCGCAAGCGCGCTCGTTTGCTTTTTCTCAACGCTGGCAGTCCTGACGTCTCAGAATTTGTCTGCTCTGGTCGTCGTGGCATCTGCAAGTTCTCTGGAAAACCGCATCTTGTCATCAGTGGAAAGTTGCACGGAGCTTGGGTGTCCAAGCTAGCTGAGCCCTATCCTCCTCCCATAGCTGAGTTGATTGCACGATGTTTGGATACTTCAGCTCAACGATTGGCAGTGGCACAGCTTTCTAGTCTATGCTGTGCCAGATCACCTATGGCTTTTGGGCCGTGAGATTGGTTTGAAGTCCGGCGCTTCGCGCCATGTGGTGATGTGTCTCGGCAAGCTGCCTCTTGAAAAACTGGCATCGTCTTCGTGGAAATGCGTGCATGCGAATGTATACACCGCGGCCACGGTTTCTCAAGCCATCTCTGACCGCCCTTTAACGCCAAGCCCGAGCCCAGCACAGTTGTTTGTTCAGCATTAGTGGTTTGAAGCCTTGCGCTTCGCGCCATGTGGTGATGTGTCTCGGCAAGCTGCCTCTTGAAAAACTGGCATCGTTTTCGTGAATGTATGTATGTATGTATGTATGTATGTATGCATGTATGCATGTATGTATGTATGTATGGATGGATTCATGTATGTATATTTGTATGTGCATAGGTATGTGTGTTTGTGCGTGTGTCTGTCTGTCTGTCGGTCTATCTGTCTGTCTGTATGGATGTATGTCGGTATGTATGCATGTATGCGTGCATGTGTTCATCTGTGCATGTGCGTATGTGAGTATATGTATGCATGCATGCATGTATGTATGGTTGCATACTGTATATATATATATATATATATATATATACATAGAGAACGAGAGAGAGAGAGAGAGAAAGAGAGAGAGAGAGAGAGCGAGAGAGAGAGAGATAGCCCCCCCATGTCTGGGCCAGCCCAGCCCGCAACAGTTCTAATACGCTCGCTGATACCCCCCCGTTCCGCTCTCCAGAGGCGGCCCGGAGAGGCCAAGAGGGTGCCAAAACGAGTCAAGAGGGGTCCAGGAGGCCCCCAAGCCGGCGCAAGAAGGCCTCGAGTTACCCAATACAGCCCAAAAAGGCCCCAAGACTTTCCAAGAAGGCTCCCAGATCACTCCCAAGAGGGCCTCAAGAAGCCAAAATCATTAAATTCCCATGGGGGAACTTATATTTTTAGCATGTGCGCCTTTGCAGCTTTCACGGCTGTGAAGACGGTCCAAGAGGCTCCCAAGACTCCCCCAAGACGGCCCCAGAGGATCCCATGAGGCCCATCAGGCGGACCAAGAGGGCGTTTAGGCGGCTCAAGAGGCGCCCAAAACGGCCCAAGACGGCGCCCAAGACGGCACCCAAGACGGCCCAAGAAGGCCCAGAGTCGCCCAAGACGGTCCAAGATGGCCCTGAAACGGTCCTAGAAGGTTCCGAGACGCTCCAAGAGGCCTGCCAAATCACTCCCAAGAGGGCTCCAAGAGGCTAAAATCGGCTAAAATCATTAAATTCCCATGGGGAAGCGTACATGTTTAGCATGTGCGACGTTTCGCGTTCACGGGCTTGAAGACGGCCCGAAAAGCTCCGAAGACTTGCCCAAGAGTATGTAAAACAGTCCCAAGAGGCCTTCAAGACAGACCAAGAGGGGGCCAAGACGGCCCAAGGGCTGTAAAAGACGGCCCAAGTTAGTCGAAGAAGGCCCCGAGTCGCCCAAGACGGCCCAAGATGGCCCCGAGACGGTCGAAGAAGGCTCCGAGACGTCCCAAGAGGCCTGCAAGAGCATTCCCAAGAGGGCCCCAAGAGGCCAAATTCTTTAAGTTCTTATCAGGGAATGTGCACTTTCAGCATATACGTTTTTGCAGCCTCCACGGCTTTGAAGATGGTCCAAGAGACTCCCAATACTCCCCCAAGACGGCTCCGGAGGATCCCATGAGGCCCCCAAGGCGGCTGAAGAGGGCGCCTAGACGACCCAAGGCCCGACTAAGTTGGCTGCAGGAGGGGTCTAACTTCTCGTTCCAAGACGCCCAAGACGGCTTCAACACGGCCAAGGAAGCCCCCAAGACGCCCCAAGAGGACTCCCAAGAGAGCCTCAAGCGGCAAAAATGGCCCCGCTCCTTTCTCGGAAAACGTGAATTGTTAGAATGTTGGTCTCTGGAGCTTTCAGAGCATCCAAGACGGCCGCAAGGCCTCCAAGATCGCCTCAAGACGGCCCGAGGCTCCCTACAGGTCTCCAAGAGGGCTCAAGAGAACCCCAAGAAGGCCCAAAAGGCCCCCCAAGACAGCCAATGAATGCCCCAGGACGGCCCCAAGATGGGGCCCCCAAGAGGCCCCCAGGAGCCCCCTGCCCAGACGCCCTCAGGCACTCATGGCGATCCCGAAGCTTCCAGAGAGGAGAGGCGATGAACGGCCGTCCTGACGCGATCGTGGACCGTCATCGAGCTCAAGGTGCCCCCATCATGGCTCAACAAGTCCCAGAAACGCCCGAAGAGAGTCACCCTGGGGTTGCCAAGAGGCCCTCCAGGAGCAACTGCATGTTATATTTTCAAGGGAGCTCCAGGCCCCTGGGCGCCAGAGGGTATTAACCCGCTTGCGCAGAGCTGCCTCCGCCCTCCCTGTGGGCCCCCCGAGACGGCCCCAGGGCGTCCCGCGAGACTCTAGACTGCCCAGGACGCTTCCAGGACGCGCTTCGAGGGCCTCATGAGCGTTCCCAGACAGTTCAGGACGCCCCAAGAGGCCCCCTGAGACCCCAGACCCCGGGCCGGCACAATTTTCAAAACTTCCCCCCTCCCCCGTATCACTTTTGTTGCCCAGGTTGGGTCCCAACTCTTTTCGGGGCGCTTCGGGGCCGGGGCCCGCTGTTGGGGGGCCGCCAAACAGGTCCCAGACCGATCAGAAAGCGGTCCCGACGGACCAGGATTTCCCCGAGCTGCCCTGAAGACGGCTTCCAGAGGTTCCAGACGGCCCAAGAAGGTTCAAATAGCACCCCGACGAGTGCCCCGAGAGGCCAAATTTAGATAGTGTACTTCAGTACAGACTGCCCAAGAGGCTCTCAATAGCGCCCCTAGACGGTCCAAGAGGGCCCCAAGATGGACCAAGAAACCCCGAAGACGGCCCGAGAGGGCCCCAGGATGGAGGGGTAATACCAGCTGCTATTTGGAGCCCTCTGCCCAAAAATCGTGGGACAGGGGAGCATCGGCATAGTATCGGCATGATCCCGCCAGCTTTCTGTTACCATTTGTCCCCCTTTCCGCGTGCCGCCAGCTTTCTGTTACCATTTGTTCCTTCCCAGCGTGCCGCCAGCTTTCTGTTACCAGGACAGGTATGTGATACATTTGCTGCCACTGTGTTGCAGGACCTCTGAATACGCCAGAGCGGCGACAGCTTAATATGCCACATTGCGCCGTCTCAGTGTCGCGGGGGTGGTGGCAACGCCACTTCTGCGAAGCCTCGCGCGGGTGGTGACAACGCCACTCTTGCGAGGCAAGTTTTCGCCCGGAACTCTTTGGCCCAAGTTTGGTGCGCTGTGTTGAAAAATGGTCCATCAGCGTACCGAGGAGAGCGAACAAGATCGCCTATCCGTTCGCCTCGCTATCTCGGTAAACACCCCACTGAGATTGAAACTCCGACTACCCTTACCGCTCATTGCCCATACCGCCCTCAGAGGTCCTTCGGCTTCTCAGGAGGGTGGCTGCGAGGCGATACATCTTGGACGAAACATGTACAGCAGCAGTGGAGGGAGAGAGGGAGATGCCTTCGGCTTATCAGGAATGTGGCTGCGAGGCGAGACATCTTGGACGAAACATGTGCAGCAGCAGTGGAGGAAGAGAGGGAGATGTCGGACACGTATCGCTGCAAAGAAAATGACCCCCGAGGCCGCCTATAGGTGCCCAGCAGGGCAGGCCGAAAGAGGCCCCTGGGAGGCCCACAAGAAAACACAAAGAGGCCCCCAAGAGACCCCAGGAGGACTCCGGGAAGCCTCCAGGAGACCCCAAAGAGGCCCCCAACAGGGTTCCAAGAGACTTCGAAAGAGACCCAGGCCCCAAGATGCCCCAACACGGTTGTTATGCGATCACAGCCTTCGTCCAATACATTTTTGCTTGCTTCAGTTGCAGCACTGTTCAATCATTCGATCTTGCTGCATGAGCCTTGCGCGACCGCAACGCACCATCTCCGTGCGAAGTAGTGTGCGTGCGCAGCCTTCGTCCTGCACGTGCTCCGCCAGCTGGCGTGTCAGCGCGTGCATTTAATTTCACGGCTGTGTTCCCTCCTTCGTCCGTCTTTCTTCGATATTCTTGCAAGTGCTCCGCCACCCGGCGTGACAGCGCGTGCATGATTTTTCAAGGCAGTTTGTTGGGCGTCCTTTGGCATTGCTATTTTTTCTGCACGTGCTCGCCAGCTGGCGTGGCAGCGCGCACATTCTATTTCAGGGCAGTTGTCGTGACGTCCTTTGTCATTCCTTGTCCTTCCCGCACATTTTCGGCAAGACAAGCCAAGAACATGTGACGACATCCAGACCAGCAAACTACGGCCTCGATATTTCATCAGAAAGCCAGTCAATGTCCCAAGCCTGTGAAGCAAACTCCCCGACGAACCCGCAAGCCAAGACCTGCGCGCCGTGACAACGAAGGAGGCAACCCTGGCTGGACGGCGCCATCGAGCCCACAGACACCTGCCCCCCCCCACCCCACAAGAGCGCCTGAACAACCCAAAAGCCAGTCCAAGAAGGCCCTGCGACATGCCATAACCGGCCCAAGACGGAGACAACCTTTCTCCGACTGCGAGTCGCCCAGAAACCCCGACCTCCGTTTCATCACAGCGCCATGG